GCTCCCCTTCTGGCATGGAAGCTTTCCTCTCCCCCTTTGAGCGCCAGGTCTTGTGTCATCTCCCACGGGCTGGTGTCTTAGGCAAGCGAGGGCGCATTCAGCCACTAATTCTCCCGCCACACTGCGAATCCTGCCTCGACCTGCTTCTTCGAACCAGCCCCAACGTGGGGGTGGACCCAGAGAGCCCCTACGTCTTCTCCCGGCCCTACCACTCCCCTGCTACCCCACTCCGCGGCACAGACCTCCTGAGAAACCTGGCTCGAGCCAGTGGTGCTAAAAACCCCGGAGCATTAACGGCAACACGAGTGCGGCGACAGGTTGCCATCCTTACCCAGCTGCTACTGCTGGAGGAGGGTGACGGCCAGGGAGGAGCCATCAAACGGCTGGAGGACTTCCTGGAGCACGAGTACCACGTGACCCAGAACTGCTCCACTATCATACGAGACCCAGCACTGATGGGTCGTGTGGGTCGAGTCGTTCTCTATGGAGAGAGGGAGGGAGTGCTTTTCAGAGGGATGAGCCTGCAGCACATCTGCCTCGAGTTGGATGGTAAGGAAACACTTGAACACACTTTTTTTTAACTTTTTTTTTTCTATTCAGTAGAAATGATTGAGTGTTTGCCCATCAACGGCTATTTAATGCATGAATTTCTTCTTCTCCCTATTAAAACTAGCCTTATGCGATACTACAGCTTCTAGTATCAATCCGATACAGTACCAGTATTACTGATACTTGTACTCTATAAAGGCAGCTTGTGAATGGCAGATCAGTGTTTCATGATTATGACATGAATCATCATCATCATCAGTTTGCAAACACATTTTAATGAGCACTAAATCATGGTCTTCTAATTTTCCACAATAATTAGTTAACACGATTAAGCTCACCTTTCAGCTTTTCATGTATGTTGAAACTGTGTTTTTTTTTGGAGACCTGGAATGTCTCTGCAGCGCTTTGGGTCAACTTCTATTGTTTAATGTTTTCATTTCCACACAATTCAGAGGGTTACATACTGAACATATAAGATAGGAGCAAAACTTTGATTCTATCATCCTAGTATCAGTACGATGCCAATACCATGGATCAGTCTGCTGTCCTCTTATTAAAACTCTCAGCACTGTCATGTGGCCTGAACAGTAATGTCTGAGGAGTACAAATTAGTCTAATATAGACTACAGAATATTTCCAGAAAGATTGGGTTTAACCTAGGGAGGCGTTTTTCCTGACTTGCAACATGTCTTTTTTTTTCTTTTCTTTTTTTAATTTTTTTTTAGAAAGTTCAGTGAACCCTAATTTCACCGGTTAAGAGTGCAGCTTTCATGGATTTAAAACAAACTAGTGCAGCTGTATTGCTAGATGGCACTAGAGCAGTGGTTCTTAACCTGGGTTTGATCGAACCCTAGGGGTTCGGTGAGTCAGTCTCAGGGGTTCGGCAGAGCCTCCGCCTTGACATGCACGGCTCATTTTGTGCACCAGTAAAAAACACATCTATGTCTTGAATTTGAAAAAAAAAATCATATTTTATTTTTCACTAAAGAGGGGTTCAGTGACTGCACATATGAAACTGGTGGGGTTCGGTACCTCCAACAAGGTTAAGAACCACTGCACTAGAGGTTAATATGAAACTTGGTGGGGGAGGGGGGTTGTTTTTTAAATAAGGGTTAAGATTTGTGTGTGTTTGAGTGACTCAGGGAAATGTAGTGTGCTCATTGAATAAAATAAGAGTATCAATGGAACTCTGGCTCATCTTTAAAAAATGAGCATCAGCCAGCTGCTGGTTAGCTTTGCTTTGCATAAAATCAACAGGGAAAACGATTAGCCAGTCATTATGCTATGTTATGCTAAACCAAACACCTGCTGGCTGGCTCATTCTAAAAACTTGAATAATGTAAATTGTAGTTCTAAAAATGCAAAGTAGTTACTGAAATTTCATTTTTAAAATGTATTCAGAGTTATTTTCATGCAACATTATTTAAATACTGTAGTCTCCGATTTAAACTGCAACACACCCATTAGAGGAAGTTTACAAATCCGAGACCCATTTTAAGCCCTCGAGAAAAAACTTCATCATTTTGTCTGAGAAGAACATTTTACAACTTTGAACTTATTTATTAACATTTGAAGTAACATTAACTGTGTGGTTGAACAGTTTTGCTTGCTGGTACGTTTGGATAACTAACCTCTGTTTGATCTCTTTTCATGCAGTCATGTCTGGCAACTCGGCAGATTCCTTCTCAGAAGATTCTGAGGCAGAGGAAGTGAAAGAGGAAATTAAAGAGAAGACAGAGGTCACGGTGAAAAAGAAGGGACCGGGCCGACCTCCGCGAAAGAAAAAGGCGCCCGTTCCGTCACCTGTCGTCAGCCCGTCTTTAGCTAATGCCCATAAGAGAAGAAACATTCCACCTAAATCAGGTAAAATCTGTCATCATTAGTGCGTGACCTCACAAACATCTGTGTTAATACTTCAGTCATTAAACTGTGTCACTCCTCTGCCTCGGTCGCACAGGGAAGCGTGGTGTCCTGAAGCGTCCCTGGTCAGAAGCCGAGCGTGTAGCAGTGGAGACTCACCTGAAGAGAAACCTCATGGAACTGCGCGTCCCCGCGAAGGCGGACTGCGAACGATGCCTCGAACTCTGCCCTCTGTTGGTGAGCAACCAGCGAGACTGGAGGGCGATCAAGTTCTACGTCCACAACCGCATCCAGCTGCTGAAGAAGCAGGGGAGGAGGGAGAGCGCGGCTGCAGTCTGCTAGGGCCGAGCGCAGGCGCGGCACAGGACAGATATCATAATGTAAAAACCACCAGCAATCACAATGAAGAGGAAAAACTCTAGATCACTATGGGACGCAGTTTCTCTTTCCCCTTTCTTTTTATTTTATTTTTTACATGGGTGCCGTACTCTGAAGTATAGCTGCATTCCCCGTCTCTGGTCATATGGGAGTAGTGTAATAACAATGAGTAAGCTAAGAAGACAGATGGGTTACTCCAGTTAAAGATGATGAGTGTACTCGGTGTTGCGGATGCCCGGTGTCTCTTTTTTTTAAATGTGTTTTCAAGCGGTTGTACAAAAATGTACTTTTGTGTGAATATGCATTGAAACACAACAAATGATTTTTTTTGTATTATTTTATTATTTCTTATGTCATTTTGCTTTACTAGAAAATAGTGGCAAGCGAGTTAGTAACGCGAGAGAGAGAGAGAAGAAACAAGCAACAAAGGTCTGTGACTACAGTAGTTAGTACTTGGTCTAGCATTTCTTTCCACTGAAGGCTGAAGACCAAACATGAATGTGTAAAGCTTTGGAAGAAGAAACCAGTGGTTCTGATCTTTATAACTAGACTACATGTCATGTGAAAAAAATGTATGAAACTGTATAGTTTGTGTTTGATACTGACTGACGTTGTTCTCCCAACTCATGGCTCCCACATGAAGAAAGTATTCTTCAAAATCTCGGACCATGATGCACCTGTGAAGTGTTTTTTGCAAACCTCTGTACCATGATCATAGTCAAACTAGTATGTATCAAGGCACGCCTGAATTTATCGCGTAACATAATTTAAAAAAAAATAATTGTATTTCAGAATCAACATATGGTCTTATTCACAATGTAAATACTTACTAATCTATCAAAGTATGCAGTAGTGATTACAAAGTATTGTGTTATGGTGTACATACTGTAAATACTATCTGTACTTATTAAAGTGTATGACATTTTGCTGTGTTTTCGTAAACTGGTTTGTGTAAGCTGAAGACAAAAGAAAAATGAAATGACAAATTTTCTCATCCTGTATCGATTTTGTTTATTTTTTTTTTTTAAAAAAAGGCAGTTCTGCAAAATATCAACATTATCAAACAAAATGCACATCAATCTTTTACATTGTTTTACAAACACAACGAAAAATAACAGCTTTAGAGTATACAAATGGTACTGTGTCAGTTACACTGCTTTCTGATTAGTATTGAAAATGCATGCTAATTACTGTAATGTTTAATTCAGAGTATTTGAAAGGTTATTCTATTTACATATGCATACCATATATAAATTGAAAACAATACAAAGACCACTACAATAGTGCCACATCACAAAATTTAAAATGGAAAGTGATCTAACACATCAGTACACCCTCAACCCCACACCGAAAAAGAAAACCTTAAAAACGGTCATGTGATGCTAACAAATCTTACAGCTACTACACAAGCAACACATGTCCTAATCACAGTATAAATAACACATGGAGTGTATTGGCAGACAAATACACTCTGTATACAAAGTAAAACACACAACATACAATGTGGCATTGGTTCCACACAAAGATCAGAGGGGTTTGAGAACCACTTTAAGACTAACCTAGCCACAGACACTGCTTATAAGAAGGTACTGAGTGATACTAACTACTATTTACAGATCTGTGGTATTCTCCCGGATCAGCTTTAGGTCAATTATTGTATTCTGTGTTACCACAGGGTCAGCTTTATCAACAACCACGATAATCTCTGCTAACAGAAATAATTCAAATCACTGAAACACTGTCAGATACTGATGGCTGGATGCGTAGTGTTCTCTGTTTGTATTAATATTTTTGGTAGTATTTTACTATTTTGTCGTATTTTTGGTTTGTAACAGTGATAAACTATCAATGATCAGTTGTTGATAAGCTAACCCTGTGGTATTTGTGTTAGCTTATCAAGAATCATAATTTATGGTACTATCATCATCATTACACACAACATTAACTGTTGTTTCACACAAGTTGGAGATGCAAGGCAGTGACCTCACATTCCAGAATTTTATCATTTAGGGAATATCACAAAGGTAAGGAGCTTTTATTCCCAGGATAAGAAAGTTTGCCCTCTTTACCACTGGCAGAAGCACAGTAACACACTGCTAACAGAAATAGTCCATTACCTGTGTATAGAATTTTAGAGCAGCCATTGTTTTAGTTGTTTTTTTTAAAAAAAGGTGTATAAATGCGCCTGTAACACAGGTACAAAGGTCATTCCTCTAAACTTTACACCTGATTGTAAAATATTATGCCAATTTATCAGGGCCTAAGTAACCTGGGTCGGCAATATCTGACAGGCATGTGAACAACAAACCAGCTATAACGCTTAGGCTATCTGGTTTACTCACCTCATTTAATTTTTCTTTGTATTAGTGTGCATGAATTTATTATTTTTATCTTTCAGATCATTATTTTTTTATTTTTGGCTCACATTTTTATATATTTTTGTTTTCTTGCTCTTAATTCTTGCATTTAACCTTATTTTATTCGTACTTGCTTAATGTTTGATTCACTTTTTGGACTTCTCTTCATAATTATTTCAGATTAAAAATGAAAAATAAATTGCACACATTTATTTCCCTTCATTCAGTTTTATGTCAGCTAGAAAATTTGATGATTAAACCTCGACAGCAGCACGCGTTTTGTTTATCATGTTTTGCCTCCACTTGGAATCAAATGTGTTAAAGGCATAAAGGTTTTCTTTCTTGTTTGCCTGCCCAAAGATGTAATAGAGATATTAATTAACTTTTTTAACCATAAGCAAGAAATTCATAGTTTAAATTGTATTTACATAAAATAATGCTGTGGCCATGGAGTTTGAGTTAATATGACCTCCAAATTTTTAAACGGTATAAATAACCTGAACATGAGACAGAATTGATGGATTTAATGTCTCAGTAAGTCAGTATAAAAGTAATGTGAGGTCATTTGATACTTT